AACTGAAATATAATTTTAGGAAAACTGCCTTGGTTGACAGTGTTGCTCGGCGTTGAAGTAGATGTCATTGAGGAAGTGCTAAGAACGCTTGTTGTTGGATGTGAGTAGAATTCATCGAGATAAGGGAGCGATTTTCCACTGCGGGGTGTCAATACTATTGGTTCCATTTGCATAGTGTGACAAGTGCTTGTACGCACTAGCACTACAGTATGGTACAACTTTCAAAACTCTAAATAAAGCTTTTATATTAGGGAAAACTAATCCGTAAAAATAATAGAGCAGACGACGTAGATTTTAGGCATTTGAAAAGCAAACAGTTTCTTAAGGAAAAAACGAAAAATTCGGACGTCCATTTTGTGCAACTTTTTGTATAAAGTGCCGTTACCAATAAAGCGATCAATTGTGGGAAGAATTAATAAAGATTATAAACCTAATTTTGTTCAATCAAATGCTGTCCTCCATTATTATCATTATTATTTCAAGCATGGTTTTTAGATGACATATGCAGTACCATATTGTATTATCTCTCAATCTCTCGATACTATCCACTGAACACATAACAAAGAAAATTCACAAAGAAAAGTAATAAGGTAAAAACTCTCAAGCCCGAACTCCGGGGGGGGGGGGGGTAAAAGCTCTAAATGCCCACCTGCGTTTGGGGGATAAGGGACAGATAGATGAACCAAAACGCACGTCTTTAACATTTGAGACATGTCATATATATTATTTCACGTGAATTAGGGGATGCGAACTCCTAAAAATAAAATATATACTAAGAAGATATATAAAAGATCTGGAATAATCAAAAAAGCTCTCAACTTTCTTTCTCGTTCTATTTCTTCCTCCACCACGTCGCACAGCCACAGCGCCGCGGAAAAATAAGAAAACGAGAGAGTTGCTCGAGAATCAGATAAAGTTCGTTTCCAATCCGAACTCGGAATGAAAACTCCAATGATCGGAAGGTAGAAAGTGGAAATATAATAATACTGTCTGCCCCCCACTTTATGGGTTAATTTGAATGGGGTTGGTTTGGGTTGTTATTGAGGTTTTGTATTCGCTCCAAAGTGGAGTTACGCCCCCACCACACAGCAACCGCCACACGTACATGTGAGTCGTTCGTTCGTTTGCTTGCGTGTTTTATAGATTATACACGGAGATATACGTAAAGTTAATAATTGATGTTATTCAACCCATACATTGTTTTGTGAGGACAACTATCGACAAAGAGTTTATACTATTCCACATCAAAGTATTCAAGCTTGTTTACATATTCACTAATAACAACAAACGCCTTTTCTTGCATATCTGAATGTTTAATGTGCTCAATATCAAACAGGACTTTTTCAAAATTCTTCATTTCTATCTTCACAATTGCTCTACTATATAATTTGTGGAATCAGCTTGTAATATTTCTGCATAGATGTTCAAAGCCCCATCCAATTCATCATTTTCATATGCAGTTTGAACTCCATGTAGATCCAGATATAAGAAAGCAAAATAAATTCATATACACCAAAACACTTGCTGCAGCATATTCTCACGAAGTCTCTAAATTAAAATGTTACTTCTAATTGTGTGCACAATTTAAAAAACTTTGTTTGATAAAAACGTGATTCGTTGCTCATTTTGCTGTTCCCGTTACTTGATGCCAAACGGGGAATTTTTGATCGACGATCACAGACGTGTTAAAGCATTATCGTTAGTAACTTTTTCGCGCATTGTCGTGAATATGACTTCAACGTATACTGCACCGCAAGACCTGCAGAAAGCCGATGCATTCTTTAAAGAAACACCCGCTCAACAATGGAGCGACTTCGCTGCATTTACACGAAAACAAGCCTCCAATAAATTTAGGAGCATCTTAGGTCGCTACGCCGGATCTTTAGTTGCACTTAGTAAAGAATCAATCGTGCCAGAAAGCATTCGAGAGTATTGTATTCAATTACATAAAGCGGCTACGGTGAGTGGTTTGATAACATTCCTCATCTAAAAATATAAGCGTTTTGTGCTTATTGTATTTTTATAATTAGTCAGCGAAGAAAGAACACTTTAATGAAATCGCGAAACATATCATCAAAGTGAAGGCAACCGAGGATCGGATAAATAGGTTGAAGGTAGAGTCTGATTGACTAGCATTATTGCGTGAATTAGTGTAATTGATATTGACACAAGCTTGTCTTTATCTAGAAGGAAGTCACGTAGAGTCTGATTGACTATCATTATTGCGTGAATTAGTGTAATTGATATTGACACAAGCTTGTCTTTATCTAGAAGGAAGTCACGACAAAAGCTGCCCTTGTAGGTGGCATGCATGTCGCTGTAGCTCTTGACAGCTGGTTCACTGAAGATAAAGAACAAGTGCAGGAAGCACAGGAAAACTTGGAGGAAGAACACAAAGACCAATCTCAAGACGGGATTACCACCCCTCCTCCAATACCAATCGATGCTACAAAACTATTGATTTCCCCGAACAAACGGGCGATGTCCGATGAGGGCGTGCAGCAGTATGTTGTCATACGCTGAAAAAAAAAACAAAAAACAAACAAACAAACTAATACACGGTTTACCGACTTTCTCTGGAAGATACATGCACGACGTCAACATCATTGTGGCTGATGATTTGACACAGGACGAACTGACTGCAGATGTGGGTGAAGAGACAGCCAAGAGAATTACCTCAAGACGAAATACCAGCCCTGCCATATGGACGGCTGTAGAGGCATATGTTGATGGTGCCCTAGAGGTAAGTTGTGGCGTTCAGAAATTTTCCAGTACACTTAGTATATAGTAAGATGAATCCATGTTTTACATTATCACAGACCCAGAACACAACCTTTGAAAAAACCGCCGATAAAAATGTGGATCTCTTCAAACTGTATTGCAAAAAGGTTCTGGAAGACTTGTATGTACATATATACTATATCTTTGGGTTTATACTGCCAGAATATTAATATGTTGTTAAAATACAAGCTTCAACATGGTTGATCTCCATCCTAACATGAGCCGCAAAATTGGAGAACGAAAGTATATGGCCTATCATGTGGTTCCTCTGTTTAAGTATTATGAGAGGACATTCGGTACAATTGACTTCGATTGGGCCGAAACGCACGTGTCTTCAGCTAAAATGGTGAAATCAGACGAGGGCTCTGGAATTGTGCTAGCAGACGCGAAGGGCACAAGGATGCTGGATGGACTGGAGGTCTGGCATCTTGAAGTCGCTGGACCTCCCAAGAACTGGATAAGACGCCATGTTCTTGGCGATTCAAAGAAGACGCTGCGTACAGACACACTCAACCTTTTAAGAATTCTAGAAGATAGATTAGACTGTGATGTCGCTCTTGGTAGCAAGATACAAGTGTTTTCCATGTTAGGCATCGGTAAGTAAGCTATTTTAATGTGTAGCACAACTACAGAGTTCCGATGAACTCATTCCATGCCATTATTCCCTTTATATAGATACGCGAATCACATTGTATTCATTGAGGATGCTTCAGGACGGACGATTTCTTGCAACAGAGCTGGCCACGGCCATCATCCCATTTACTCATAGCGGAAGGATGCAGATGAAGGCTGTGCTGCGGATGGTGGCTATAGTACATGTATGTATTTAGGTATTTAGGCAAAGCTTTGTATGCGATTTACACATGCATTTTTTTGTTGATATTCATACATGGTTCCCCGCAGGACGAGTTGACGAAGCAAGAAAAGCTGCTAGAAGAAATTGATCATTGTGTCCAGCGCCCTCAAGGAAAGGTTACTGTACGCGACGTTCTGCAGATACCAAAAAGAATAAAAACAAAGTAGAGTTTCCTAAATAAAGAATTGGGATAAATGAAAAGCATTATATCTCCTTAAATCTACTACTCTTGGCAAGTCAGTGAGAATTACTAGGAAAGTCTCTTTGTGGAGCTGGGACGTGTAAAAGAAAAATGGGGGGGGGGGGGGGGGGGGGGGGGGGGGCCAGGGCGGGCAGCACGTGTTTTTTTTTACCGGGGTTGTGCGACCGAGGGGCGGGCGC